ACCTGACTACTCAAAGGAAAATTTAAAGATGAGGAAGTTCTTATTCCTAGGATTCCGATGAGCTCAACAGATATGCCCTTTGAATTTAAACGAATTCAATTCCCGCTTCGTCTTGCCTTCGCCATGACGATCAACAAGTCACAGGGCCAATCTTTGACTATTTGTGGCCTCAATCTAGAAAATGCGTGTTTTTCTCATGGTCAATTGTACGTGGCATGCTCACGTGTTGGCAAACGATCCGCATTATTTGTTCTTGCACCCGACCAAAAAACGAAGAATGTCGTTTACAACAAGGTGCTTGAATGAAAATCTGATTAATAAATTTATCAGTGTATCCCAGCCTGAACAACATAGCTTTCAACAATTTTTTACCTAGAAATAATATAGAGGGCAATGCAACGTTTGCCGGGCCAGCTAGTATTTTATAAACTAATATATAATATAGAATCAGTTGAAAATAAAGTGATCAGTTGTTGAACTTAGCTATAAGGTATATACATAAATATATTATCAAGACATGCTTTTGAGCTAGTAAGCATTTTTCCATGCACACTACCAGTTCAGTTTTAAAAATCAATCGATCAATTAATCAATAAACTTATGGGTATCTTGAGTATTGCACCTGGAAGTCTGCTTAAGTTAAATGTTAGTGGATTGAAGTAGTACAAAAGAAGATCATTTGCGATCACTTTATCAAGCCCTGATCTTAAGGTCTTCTCAAGCTTTGAGTCTCTTGATTGAAGGATATCATATACGATCACTTAATCAACTCCTGATCTTGAAATCTTCTCGAGTTTTAGTTTCCTTGAATATAGATAACCATTTTCGGTCACTCGATCAAAGCAATCAATCGATCAAGTTCCGTTAGATTTGAATATGATTTCTGTCTCTACATAAAAGTAATACCATGCTAACAAGCTGTAAATTTCCATAGTCTGGCAACTCTGTTATTGATCGTGATCAATTTGTAGATGTTGCTAATCTGAACACGCTCTGTGCGCAAATGAAATACCAAATATGGTGTCGACATATGTTTTGAGCCGTAGATCAACAATGTTTCCATATTTAAATGACTTTCGATGGCTTTTGGTGCGACATGGCGGGCTTATCAGTGGCATGAATGAACTCACGATCGATTTGATGTTAATACCCTCCATTGGGTTGCGTTGACATTCCAAGGCGCCGTCCACATTTTTATTGACTGAACAATGGTCGAGCAGCGGGCAGTGAGCGGGTCAAAGAGAGGAGAATTTTGTGTTTATAAATATTTTCATAATACTAATTAAAGTTAAGAACCTGTTTCCATTGCCGAACCGAGTTACCACACTCGCCGCAGAGGAGAGAGAGAGGAGGAGGCATAGGAGGTGAAGCAGTAGCATCATTTAAATGACAATAAAGAGTATAAAATCATTTAAAATATTACGTATACGACGCAGCCGGTTCGTGTTTATTATTTATGTGCCCGAGATGAAAACAAATTGCAGGCGTAATTGCGCTTAAGTGGCCCAAAAGCCCCAGCCGCACATTGGGCATATTTATTGAAAAGCTATGGAACGAGAGCTAGACAGAGATGGACGGATGTTTCCAATATTTTGAGTGGCCTGTCAATTGATGTTCTATAAATAAAAGAAAACGTCTATTTCGATTCTGTTGTCTCAATTGATTTTCATTTGTGGATTCATTTCACTCTATGGCAACAGTTGCAACAATTTTTCAGCTTCTCATCTAACAAAACTTTCGTATTGTTCTTTATTTTTGTTTCTATTTCTATTTTTCTTTGTGCCCAATTACGCGTTGTAATTACCCGTATTTTTTGCTATGGGGCTACCCCAATGCCACTGAATTTTCTATTGTTTTTTATTTTTATTTTTTTATCACTCTGTTTTCGCATTGTTTAGCTGGCATACAAATCAGCCATTAATTCGTTGTGCGACCATAAAAATGCTAATTAGCATTTAATACGTTCATTTTGCATAGATCAGTTTAGCGGATCGATCAATGTTTTGCATACAGTTGATAACAGAAAACGACTATACGGCTAAATATGTCAATTAGCTAAAAATGATCGTTGATCGTTTAATGATCCAGTTAACCTAATTGTGAAGAAGACTTCCCAGCAACATAATAAATCAGATTGTTGATCTGTGGAAATATACAAGAAACATTCAATTTGAGCATTAGAATTTAGATGCTTAACATTTGACACGATCAGAAAGTCCCCTGACTTTTAAGTTAGTAAAAAAGTCACATAGGAGACTTTACGTTGATCACTGATACTTAGGTCATTCGACCTGGGTTGTTATAAAGGGATCGAAACAATATTATTAACTAGATTACTAATTGTAAATCCATTTTATAGATCACGTAACTATTTAAGAATTGATCAATTATAGCTTTCAGTTCAAGTGCTTGTAAATTATTAATATGCAAAGATCGCTGATCACGGAAAGATGTTTTAGTCTTAAGGTTTAGTCTGAGGTTAAGAACTCCAACATTAGTATTGTTGTCTTCAATTAATCGTTGAATGACAGATGAACTGTTTCTACTATGTTGTCCACGTTTTTCTACTGATCATTAAATATTTCTTGTTTTCTTAATGGTGTGCTAGTCACAGTTTTATATATATTTAGTTTCCGCTCATCGTCAAGTGGTTGACAAGTCTAGGTTAAGAATAGAATTTATGCGATCAGCTAGTTTGTTATTTATGCTAGCTGCTCTTCAAGTTTCCTGACGATCTTCAGCTTGTCATTAAATGCTTTAACACCTACGCTTCATAGTATAGCAGAAATACACTCGGAGAAAAGAGTGTTAAGTGTTGATAGGAGTTGCATGAAACTTGCACAAAATTCTCCTCTTAGTAATCTTTCACCCATACAGTTTATCTCGACTCCAAAAACTGTAATTTTTTTTATGGGAATACCAAATTCTAGTAATAAGTAGTAATAATTTTCGCCGCTTATTTCTCCAAGTGATCTTCAAGTTGCTTCTTCACTTTGATACATTTGGTCATAATCATTTTGCATGCCAGGTTTTGCTTCGTCTATTTCTTCTTCTTCATCATCTTCTTGTTCTTGTTGGCAACCTGATCGAAGTGACTGAACCTGATCGTTGATCGTTGCGGCTGCTGGCCCATTCGGGGATGCTTCTCGTAAAACCTGATTGCTAATCGTTTATGGCTCACCTTTGTCGTGTTTGAATTTGGCGTATTTTTAGCTTTTCATTTCGTTTGGACTTTCAACTGAATTGAATTATTGTCTAGCGCGCAGACACCGAAATATGTCAATAGTTGTCTGTGCCAGTTTCGGCAAGTTGTTCTTGGCATTTGGACACATTATACATATTTACGTCTAATAACAAGAATCTAGATACAAAATGAGAAAAATACAAATACAATAAAATGTAAAAAAAACAAAATAAGCAGAACTATATAGGTGCTGATATCGTAAAAGACTTAAGGCGTGGCTGTCGTTTAGCAACGATAGGCGATAGGCGATAGGTGAGCGGTCTATAGTCTATAGAGACATTTGAAATGCCGTCGAGTAAAGTAATGTTTTTTATATCTAATTGAATACGCTATGCTTGAGGTTAATGAGGTGCATTACTTGAAAATTTAATAATTTATGTATATTATTTTAATTAGATTTTTTTTGTAGCAAAGAAGACATTGTGAATTAAATCAGAATACAGACTTGCCATTTCCCTAACATAATTTTCTAAAAATTATTAATCATTTATATTTCTA